GGGGTTGGACTAGATGACCCACAGAGGTCCCTTCCAACCCCTACCATTCTGTGATTCTCTGATTCTGTAATATAGAGTTTCCTATTCTGTGTCCACACCCATTTTCATGACAAAGTTCTATTGAAACAGCTGCATCACTCACGTACTGGGAGCTGAGATTTGTAACAGGTAACTGCAATTTTTCTTGCAAGTGGTATCTGTTTTTGGAGTGTGGAGCACAATGTTTTTCCAGTTAGGTATGTCCCGGTGTTGCTTTTCCAAGTTCTGCTGGTTACATAATGGTTAAGTCAGCAATGTTACTGATTCTCACTCATCATTATTTTAGCACTTTTTTCCTGTATCTTCAATTGTTATGATGAATGGAATTCTGATTTTCATTTTTTAATGTTCCAGTTAGTTTACGCACTGCATCGATGCAGTAAATGTGGAAAACTCATGCAAGTCTTGGTGTTCTAGAAATCTGACATTTCTGGCCTGGCAGAATTTTTGTATGCGTTTAAATCTATTTGCATTCTTCTTAGACTCTCTTGTTTGCTGACTGACATATTATAGTGTTTACATTCTCTAGATGCTGGCAATTCAGTTAGTCCAAAGGTATTTCTTAGACTTTGATTCACAAAACTTTGAAGTTGCACTATCTCCAGTTTCAAATCTGTTGGAATCTCCCAAAGTACTCACCAAAAGTGTTTTTAAAAATGTAAACACTTTCATCAAGAACCTGGAAAATATGTGGGCAAAATAAGTGTTTTCTGTGTCTTCTCTTTTCCTTTTAATTGACTGTTGTCCCCATGTGTTACGTCTTTGTTTTCTGTATAACTGCGCTTTCTAAAGTATAGCCAGAACTGTTAACAAGGAAAAAAGGAAGCAAATGGAAGGACCTTTCAGCATACTTCCAGAATTCATCATAGGAGTAGATTGTTTTCGGGTATATAAAATCCTTGCTTTGCTGAGGATTAATTGTAATGGTGATTTCAGAGATTAAGTAACGTATAACTCTGAAGTTTTGAATAAATCTTTCTTACCTCGTATCACCAAAGGTAGGCAAGCTTGCAGTGCTCACAGGTAAGCAAGTGCACAGTTCCACTAACCTTATTGTGTATACAAAAGTGTATGCTTTTTTGAGGACTGTTAAGTCAAAACAAATTTCAGAAAACTTAAAAAGCCTTCTTTACAAAACATTAAGTGAGAACTTATTTTTATTGCATGACTCATTTTGAAAGATGTCTTTGTCAAACAATTTTTGTAGGATCATGTAGGAGTTGCAGCTTAGTTTACCTTTAGAACATTTCTTACCTGTGTTCTTCTGGTGTATCTTCTATATATACACATGTGATATGGGGAGTGTCATTAGGAAAGTCTATATTTTTAGTACATCTGGTCATCTTAAAATATTTAAATGCAAAATAAGTGACTTGATTTATTGTCATCAGCTGTTTAACAGGAATTTGAAGTGATACCCTTATTTCTTTTGTCAAAAGCTCTGTATCGAGTCTTTGGGAACTTAGATGCTAAGAAATTGCTGTGTAGTATGGGTACCTGTATGTAAACTCACTGTAGCTCACTACAGAAAATAATTTCTGCAACCTCTTGCTTTTTACTGAACTTCTAATTCCAGTTGTTATGATTCCTGATTCCTTTAAATTTACTTTCCATCAATTATTTCTGTAAAAAGCTTTATTTCCATTTCAGTTTTTCTGTGCCTCAGTTTGATGTCTAAGGGCTAAATCCATTACATATTTAGTAGCTGAGTACTGCAAAGCTTGATTGGAAATGAAAAATTATAGTCTCTGCCCTAAAGTGGAATCAGAAGTCATAAGTGATGCAGTGGGTTAAGTAAATAGGTCAGGCTGAGACAGCCATGCCCATGTATTGGTCAGAAAACTACTCAGACTGATACTGAAAGATTTCAGCTTCACCCTTTTCTAAAGCATAGCCTCAGAGCAGTTCAGATTCTTTGATTTTTCAAATTTCAGATTCCCTTCTTGAAGTATCCATCCAGTCCTGGAAGGACTGAATGATCTTTTTAACTGTACCTGAGCAGTGATTACCTGTGTATTTTAGGGTTTTTCTGCACTCAGTGCTCCAGGAAGTGAGAAGCTTGGGTTCAACCCCTTACTTAGCCTACTATGGTAGGAATGAGTGTTTGAGCCTACTGTTCAAACTACTAGTGCCCCAATCTAATGCTCAAACCATTACTTTTATGACTCACCTAAGGGACCATATTCACATGATGTTTCGAAATTTGTTCCCTCCTGCGCCTTAACACGACTATAGAGATTTGTGTACTACTCTGAAGAAGACATTTTGGATAGGGAGGCTTTTTCTTTTCTCTTATCTCTAGGATCTTTGAGTGGAGAGCTAGAAAGAGTGCTACGAAAGTATTTAAATATACTGGTCATTTTCCAGTTAAATACTCTGGTAGCTGAAACTGATCATTTGTATAAAACATCAAGGGACAGTCTGGCTGATTACCCATTGGGATCTTATATTCTACAAATAGAGAATCTTGATCAGGATGTGTTACCATCTATCCACTCAGGAAAATAAGCATATTAGGGTTTCAACTATGTAAGACTAGGAAGGGCGGGTGCCATTTCCATCTTTATAGTTCCAGTACAGAGGCAGGAGGAGAGAAATTTGATGTAAAATACAGTGGGATTTGTGCTGGATTTTTGTGCTTTGAATGGAGAATGAATATTCATCAACATATTGCTGAAATAATGGTGTTCTTAGGCATTAACTAATCATATTGATTCTACTGCTATCCACCAGAGATTAACAGTAAGTATCAATAAATGGGTCACGCACCTGAACATTCCTTTTTCACTTAAAATTAGTTTAGTGGCATAAGATGTTAAGGTTGCATGAAATGGAAAATATAAAGGAACTGCTTTCTACTTGTTGTCTTAAAAATAATTTTCTGTTTCGCTGGAAAATAGATTTGACCAAACACATGATGTTTGGGATGTCTGGAAAAATGTTAGAATCTTAGGAACAAGAAGGGAAAGCTGACCTTTCCTGACACAGAGGTGTAGGAGAGAAGAGCTATTGAAGGCTAAAGCATGTTATGAAGAATCCTTTTTATGACAGGCAATAGAAAGCAAAATGCTTAAAAGACAGGATAATTAAAAAGGAACCACTTAGAAGATGTTGAAATTTCAAGTAGGAGAAGAATCATCCTGCTGCTTTTTTCAGTTGGCTGCATGCAGTTTGGTCACCAATCTAGAAGAGCAGTTGCAATGGAAGAACACTTTCCTATCAGCCTTTACCTTGAACCATGTAGATCTCATGATGCCAGTTTTCATTTTGAAACACTCAGTCTGTGGCTGACGTGAAAAAAAAGGCATAAAAAAGGAATAAGATGATTTTTTGGGCTCTCCAAACAGAAAATCTTCTGACAAAAACTTCCAATGTGCTGAAGCTCAGCTGTTACGGAGGCAGAGCTTGAGGCCATCTTCTGACATGTTCCCAGAAGACAAATGTGTCCTGTGATGAGGAATAAATCAAAATACTCCCATCCATTGTAAACGGTATCTTGAGTGACCCTCTCTAAAGAAAAAGGTTTCGCATCTTTCTGCGACAGGTTCAGTTTTGCCTGGAGTTATAATGGCTGAAAGGAACTAGGGATGCTGTCTTGAAAACTGCAGGCCCTGTGTGTGTTGCTGCTACTTAGAGCCTGTCCTGGGTTCGGCCAGGACAGGGTTAATTTTCACCGGACTCCAGGAAGGGGCACAGCCGGGTGGCTGACCCCACGCGGCCAATCAGAGCAGGGCACTCCGTACCATGTGCTGTCACGCCGGGTTCTGATTGGGGGGGAGTGTGGTGGCAGGGAGGGGAAAGTGGCTGGGGAGCGTGGCGGCAGGGGGCGGTGGGAAATGCTCTCTGTTCTGTGGTGTTTTATGTATTCTCCTTACCTGTATCGTTGTTGTTGCTGTTCCCTCTGTTTGCTGTTCTGTTAAACTGCCCTTATCCCGACCCACCAGCTTCTGCCTGTTTCTTCCCGTTCTCCTCCTATAACAGACTAGCCACTAGATGACCCACAGAGGTCCCTTCCAACCCCTGACATTCTGTGATTCTGTCATACATGATGACTGAAACTGTACAGAAGTATTAATGAGCTGTAGCTGAGACCTGAAGATTTCCAGGAACAAAAGCTGGCTTTTTTCCAGGAAATGAGGCTGTGTTGCTGCATCTCCCTTACAATTTACCATAGAGACTTCTGAAAGGATCTTAGTGTTGCAGCAAGTGGTAGTTTCTTTAGCATGTCTAGCATGTTGCATAACTGAGAGAAAAATCATATCTATGAGCATTGTAGCTGTGCTGATAGGCCAGCACATGAGCACACTCTACACCAACAGGACAAATTATTAATATAAACTGTGTTTTTCAGTTGTGTTAGGAGTGAAGCGCTTGTTGTGTAATTTTCATTATTCTCAGTGAATCCACTGCGTCGCATCCTTGCCAGCTTATACCACTTTCAGTCTCAGCCTCCTCCGTGTTCTCTCTGCAGCTGTTAGGGGGAGGGAGAGCTGCTCTGCTCATTATTGTTTCTGAAACAGATTTTTCTTTCACTTACTTTCCATTTTTTCTCCAGCCTCCATCATCTTTACCTTTTAGGCAGTATTCTTGATTAACATGACAAAAAGTAATCTGTATTCTACCATAGCATGTATGCTTCTTAAGGTATTTGAAGTAGTATGTAGTCTGTAATCATCTGTTTGAAAAATAGTTTGATTCCTTCTGAAAGGGGGGGTGTATAAAACCCTCTAGAGACTTAAACCATTGCTTAAGAGTGTGTGATGATTGCTTTCTGTTCCGGAAGTGTAGATGCTGTGCTCTACCATTAGAGAGCAGCAATTGCATTTCTCTTCCTGCAAGAGCTAAAGTGCTTCAAAGTGCTGCTTTGCCCTTGCAGGCAGATATTGAACAAACTTACACAAATATTTTTGTACTTTTTAAACTGTAACAGTGGCATGTTGACAGACTGACAGGGGAAAAAAGCGATATCCAGCTAGGTGATAAAGTCAGTAGCTTGCCCCCTGGCGTAGCAGGAGTTACTGTAACTCGCTGGGCTCAGTCAGCTTCAGCATGAGTGTTACTTCTGCTGTCTAATATTTTCCGACATTAATGTGTAGTGTTTGATTTGTTATTGTGTCAACCTGCATACAAGTTTGACATATGATAGGTACTTTTTTTGTCACACATTTTAAATGACTTTTTAAATAGCCTTAGCAACAGATGGCCTGGTTGACAGCATGAAGTAGCTGGAACTGCAAAATCCACTGTATGGATAATTTGGATAATTCAACACATTTGATACTGTTCTCTTATACCTTTTTACTTTGAGGTTTTTAAAATCTAGAATTACCTGCTTAAAGCAACCTTGAGTGTTACATTTTGGGCTAGACTGCATTTTGAAATTGCTCCTTTCTTAGTGCTGTATCAGATATGTGTTAAGGTTGCTCCGTGTTAATTAGGCCCCACTTCAAGCTGTCAAACTGCTATTGTTACGAAGTATTACCACTCCCTCCACCCACATGATTTGCGGAGTGCAGAGTAATACAGCATTACAAGCAGACTTGAAATACAGTATAGCAAGATGAAGCTGAAGGGATGTGTTCCTTCTTTGGAATCTCTTTCCTTATTGTGTGGCTAGCTGAAAATTATTAGTACTTTTGATTTTTTTAATTAACTTTCTACCCAGTCTGTTTTCCTCAAACAGTTTTAATATAAAGCATACATGTAAAATGCATGTTTGAATCAAAGGCAGCTATCAGCGAAGGATTCTTTTTTTTTTTAGTGTTTCCGCATGTGACACCCAAAGGAATTAATGGCATAGACTTTAAAGGAGAAGCTATAACTTTCAAGGCAACGACTGCTGGAATCCTTGCTACACTCTCTCATTGTATTGAACTTATGGTAAAACGTGAAGAAAGCTGGCAAAAAAGGCTAGATAAGGTAAGATTATTTTTCTTTCGTTGGAAAAAAAAAGTATGTTTCTTTAAATTTCAGTTTCAAGCTAAAATGAGCTGTTAACTTTTTTATTTCAGGTATTGCTTTTATTTTTTTTGTACAGCATTTATTAATTTGAGGTGCTTTCATTACTACTCCTGTAAAATGTTAAAGCCTCATCCTGACTGGTAATATAGTAACATTATTCATTGTAGTCTTTCTTTTCCCAGCCCTTGTTCAGATAGTAGTCCTGTATTTTTTATATCTCTAGAGAACTTGAGAATATTCCATAGGAGTAAGTGTATTGCTTGCAGCCTTCTAAAGGAGACCTAATTGTACATGCTTGCGAAATGATGTGCAAATCTCTGAAATGTTTTAATTATGATAAGACATGGCTACAATACTGAGGAGAACAACCAGTTCTAACTTTCAGTGTTTCTTTAAGATACAATTATTTCACTTTCCGTTTGGAGATTGAAGAGATTAATCCATGTTTTTTACTAACTGTAATGTTTTTTAGATGTGTGGTGTTAGAATATCCGTTATTCTAGTGGTAGTGATAGTTCATGCTAAGCCTACTCACTACAGCAACTCAAAAGGAGCAATGTCTTCTCTCATGAGATGTGCTGGAGGCATGGCTATGTTGTATGTCAGGCTTTGATTTCCAGAATTCTGCCATCACTGGCTGGTGTGCTGTGCAGTCCTCTAGCTGTTGTTGTCTCTCTTGTTTTTCATTTAATGTGTTTCCATGTAGTGCATATCATACTTCAGATCTTACTGCATGTGTGTTAGTGGTACACAATTCTAAGAACGAATGTATTCAGACAAAATACATCCATGCTTAAATCCTTGTCCCCATCTCCTGGGTCATCTTTGTCCATACATCAAAGGCCTGGCCGTGTCTAACTGTATTGCAACTCCTGTTGACAATTTGTTACTGTTTTGTCTAAGTAGCTGCAGAAATTACAGTAGGTCCAAGACTTGAAGCTTGTTCATAGGATCATAGGTAATTCAGGCTGGACTAGATACCTCAAGAGGTCTTTCTCTAACCTCTTGCTTAAAGGAAGGACAGTTTGAGATCAGACTGGGTTGCTCAGGGCTTTATCGAGTCTGGTTTCAAGTCTCCAAGGTTTGAGACTGCACAGCTTTTCTGGGCAGCCTGTTCTGCTGCTCAGCTGTTGATATAATGAGAAAGTTTTTCCTTATATCCAGTTGAAGTAACTCTTATTCCAATATCTGCCTGTTGTTTTTCATCTGTCTACTATGGACTGCTGTGAAAAGTCTGGCTCAGTTTCTTTATGATTTTCTTGAAGGTATTGGAAGGCCGCTATTAGGTCCTGCCACAAAAGCCTTCTCTTGTCTGGGCTGAGCAAACACAGTTCACACTTACTGATCTGACTTTGTTTAGAGTGTGTATGAAGTTAATTTTTCTTGTCCCTAGGTTAGTATATGTTAATAAAGAATATTATGTTAGTATAGGGTTTTAATTCATTTAGAGTAGTTCTTTGTCACTTTTTTCTTTTTCTGTGGACTAACTTTAAAGCACTTGTTTTTAGCTGCAAGTGATTAACAAATTCAAACCTAAATTTCACTTTGAGTCTCATGTGACTGATACCTCATGCAGTATGAATAAACACATTTTAAAGGGGGTCACAAGCTTTTTTGGACTTGTTTTCCCAGAAATTAAAATAGCAAAAGCTTCTATACCGAGGAGGTTTTTAGTTGCTCTGCTTTGGTAGACTTGAAACTTCTTGTAAAGTCACATTTGTCAGTGAAACTTTCTGAGGTTTATGTAACTCTCTGAAGTACATGAATTCTAATATAAAATAATTACTCTATTTGTATTCCTCTAATTGCTAGTCTTTTGGAAGAGGATATTTTTATTGAATTAAATAATACAGAATTGTGGTGGGCTAGCCTTGGCTAACACCCAAATGCCCAACCAGCTGCTCACCATCCATCCAGCAGGATTAGGGGAAAAAATAGACAGAGAACGTACACTGGTCAACAGAAAGTCCAGAGGATTGCTTACTGTTTCTTGTCATGACAGAACTGTCCTGACTTGGGGAAAATGAATTTGTTGCTGCTTTAAAATAGAGGCAGTTAATGGGAAACAAGACAAACACTAAACCAGCTTTGTTCCTCCATTTCCCAAGCTCAACTTTGCTCCTCCACTGCAGGCCCCTCTACCTGCTGCTTGTGAGCCCCAACCAATGCAGGGTAAGGGATGGAGGGGTTGCAGTCAGTCCAGAGCACTTCATCTCTGCCACTCCTTCGTCCTCACACTTTTTCCCTGTTCCAGCAGAGGCCCTCTCCACGGGCGACAGTCCTCTGGCAAAAATCTGGTGCAGTGTGGGTCCTCCGTGGGACACTGCTCCTTCAGGAAATGTTCCTCCATGGGCAATGTGGATACATTCTCTGTCCTTAAGTTGCTTCTCCTCTTGTGGCTTTGGCATCTCCTCTGTTTCTTACTTTCTGTTCACCCTTCCTCTCTCCCTGGGGTGTTTCTCACCCATAAATACATTTTCAGAGAGGTGCCATGCATGTGTTGGGTGTGTGTCCTGTAGCTGTATGTGTCCTGTAGTGGGTCTGTTTTGGAGCTGGCCAGAACCACCTGTGCTGACACAGGGCAGCCCCTGGCCTCCTCCCACAGAGGCCACCCCTGCAGTCCCCAATAGACACCTACTTACACCCATGAAGACAGCAGTTGACTATTCAGACCTCTGCTGACACTGTTCCACTTCAGTAGTAGAGCTGCTTTTGTTTTAATTTTATCTTGTTGGTATAGAGGTTAATCATAGCTTTGTAAGAGTGTCTTTATAACTATGGGCCTGAGCAAAAAACATTGCTCTGTTATCTGATAAATACGTGTGGGAGGAGAATGGTGTTAAATCTTTGTACTTCTGGTTTTCCTGGATAGATGTGTAAACTGCTCTGAAAAGGAAGTAAATATTTTGAGGTGAAGTAGTTCAGAATACCTTCTCTAAGGAAAGGAAAATTACATGTAATTGGGCAGGTGTTTGTGTTCTATCTGGGAGGGTTTTAGAGTTCTCTGAAGTCTGTCCAGTGCCTGCAGAAGACCATCTAGCAGACTTTAAAGGGGCAGCATCAAGTTTGTCCTTCATGTGTGTCAGCAGATTCACACTGCTGGCTCTGTGCTCTGCAGGTTTGTCACAGGAAGAATAAGATCTCTGTCAGTGGCCAAAATCAATGAGTGTTTTACAAGTAGTGTAAGTGCTGCTGTAATCCAGCTCACTCTCCTTTCCCCTCGACCCTCCTCACTCCGCTAGCTTCAGAACTGCTTCTCACTTAACAGCAATGCACAAAGGTGATCAGTAAGAGTCCTGCTACCTCATAAAATTATAAGCCTCCATCTTACAGAGGGCTAGCTTAGCCTAAAGATGCAAGACAGATACATGTCTTCCAAACTTGAAGTATGTTTCAAAATTACAGCAGTGCTAAAAAATTTCTCATATTAAAGTTCAGTAGAATTTGTGAAGGTGAATACAGTTTCACTAGATGACTGCAGTGTTATGAAGTGAGTGTCTTCATAACCCTCCCCCCCTTTTAAAATGGTTTTAAGTTACATTCTGAAGGTTGGCAACTATCTCTAAACTTTCAAAAACAAGAAATTATATAAAAACATCTTTTAATTTTTAAGGAGACTGCTAAAATAATGCATCTAATGATTGTCATTTTAGAATTCTACGTTTAGTTTTCTTTCAGTTACCAAACCAGTCACATAGCCAGAATAAAATCAGTACAAAAGCATGTAATGTTATTGAAAGGTAATTTTAGTTACAGCTTTGTTTTCAACCTTTTGCTCTTAGCTGTTAAGGTCTTGAGCTTGAATTTTTATTTTTCCAGTGCAGTTTATTTTTCAGTATGAGCCTCTTGAATGTATTTTAAAATAGACTTTTCTTAAAATGGATAAACAAGGAAAGGATTTAATCTCTAGTGTTTCATCCATTGTTTTATTTGCAATAAAATACTTGTGATTATGCTTTTTTTGTCTTGACTACAGCAACATTTTTCTGTTTCCTTTGGTCTTACTGATTGTTATTAATGAGAAAATTTACTTTCTGAACATTAACTTTTGCCCTAAGATTCACAAGTTTACGTAGCTTATTTTGTTCACCTTTGACAGTTGTAATTTAAATATCTGATTAAATTTTAGAGTTTTAATACACCAGTAATTTTTCTGCTATGCAGTCACTTAGTTTCCCAGTTTCTGCCTTGCTTAATGTTGTTGCCAAAAGAAGCTGGCGGATGTGGAGGGTTGTCTTTTGACACATGTGAATTTTCATTAATTTACAGATTGGAGCACAGAAAGTGGGGGGATTTGGGTGAACAGGAGTTGTGGCTTGTGTGTTTTTGTTTTTTCATTGCGAGTGTTCTGGTAAAACTTCCATGTTTTCTCAGTGACTTCTACTCAAGTCGTACTTTATGTGTCTTCAGAACTCTCCAGTTAACACGTTAAGTGCTAGCAGTTACTGCCTTTGTGATAGTTTCAGAAGGGAAAAGCCTATGTTCACATATAAAGACAGTATTGTCTTAATCTGAGTGCTGCTTTCTTTCCTAAGAATTTTCCTGTGGAAAACTACTGTTTTGTTTTACATCAAAACTGTTGCTTTACTTTTCAAGCTTTTCTCTAGAAACTGGAAAAAGTGTTCCAAAGTGAATGTTACCACCATATTCCCAGTTGGTAAACTCAGCCTTTCAGTATTGCTTAAGGATTTGCCACTTAATATTTAAAGCTCAAATTGGGTTGCTGAATAATTGTACTCATACATGCAAGAAGTTGTGTGCGGTGTCCAGTTGTCACCCATAAGACTTAACTTTCTTTCTCCTGATACTTAACTTTCTTCCACCTGAAGTGATTCTGAAAGGGGGCACAGAAACATCTTGTGTATTAAAGCTGACTTCTGTGAGAATTTCAAAAGTGTTTATACCTTTTTCACTGAGAATATCTGGCCATGTATAGAATTCGCAGAGGAAATACTAGGCTTAATCTGATTCTGGTGTTACTGCTTTTTTTATTCAAAATACATGATACAGACATCAGTGGCTCTACTATGGTCACACACCTATTATGGGAGAATGATGCTGAGTGGTTGGTCTCTGCATGGAGTTCACAAAATAATTCACATTGATCCTATGCCAACTAATCATAGCTACAGACTTACGTGCTGTGGCTCATTAGTATCTCGCAACATTAAACAAGTTAGCTTTGTACCAGACTTACTTTTTACCCTTTGTTATCACTGCCCAAGCATCTGTGTCAAGGAGATTTATATAAACTGTCAGTCAGCTACAAAGTCTGACACTCAATGAACCATGAGTAGCTATGATTAAACTAAATGCCAGTTTTTGCTTGTTGGTTTAGTTTATTCCACATGACTTGAAGAAGGTGTCCTCAAGGTAGCTAGCTCCCCAAGCCTTGTATTATCTATACATGTATATGGGCACATACAGTGCATGCATGCAAATAAATTCAGAAAATCAGCAGATCTGTGTTTGTTACCTCGGGGAAAAAAAATACATTGGTCATTCCATTTATTGTCATGTTGACTACTGTTAGTCAATTCATTCTCACTGCATCAAATGATCATGTAATTTTACAGGAGACCGAGAAAAGGAGAAGAGTTGAAGAAGCGTACAAAAATGCTGTGACGGAACTGAAGAAAAAGTCCCACTTTGGAGGGCCAGACTATGAGGTACAAATTCTGCTTTTGAAATTCTTAAAAACGCTACCACTTCTGTTTCTAAAAGACGGTAAAGGGGTGTGTAGATCAAGGTGTTTGGCTTGTGCAAGTGTGTTCATGCCAATTCTGTTTTTCCACCTTGGGAACTGAAACTGTATGAAGAATCTCAGTCCTTAACTTTTTGAGAACGGACGTCTGTTTTCACCTCAGGCTTCCATGGTCTGATTTGGGTTAAAGCATTTTGCTTACAGATATTTCTGCTGATTTTTTAAATTATTTTTCTTGTACATTTGGTACTGCTTATATGCAGTAGTTCTGTAATTTCCCTTTTTAATGGTTCAGCTGTATGGATGTGTAAAGTAAATATGAAAACCCCGACTGTAAAGGCAGATCTAGAATCGGAACTTTAACTTGAATTGATTTTTAACTTATCACTTCCGCTTGAAATTGTGTTGACAAATTCAGTGACTTTTGGGTACCTTTCATCTGTTAAATTGCATTATTTCAGCAGCTTCCTCAGTGAGGTATTTAGGCCAATTCTAAGATGCTTAGACCACCTTCTGAAGAATCATGTAAGCTAACACATCTGTAATGCAGTCTGCATAATTTTAAGAACTTTACCCTTTCGTGTACATTAATCAAACACGTTTCTACTTTGAAATCGTAGCATGAGAAATAGTCGTAGTATGTTGAGATATTTAAAAGATACTTGAGCTTAGGTTCTCTGTTGTGACTGAGGCCATACACCGTAAAAGAAAAAGATGGATAGGAAGCTGGATTTTGTCTACATGGTTATGAACCTAGCTGCCTCTCCCAGGTATCCCCATTGTGAAGTAGTTTTTTGAAATTTGCTGGACCAGCTTGTTTTACAATACAATAAAACCAGTAAACTTAATTTCTGAAACTACCATTTTACTTAGTAGACTTGAGTTTTTAATAGTTGACTCAACTCTACCTGCTGTAGAGTTTCCAAGAATTTTCAGTAGAAATCCCCAGAATTTTGTCTTCTCTTGTTATGTTTGAGCACATACCTGAAATCTACCCTAAGGCAGTGGAGTTACTCAGGAGTCTAATGACACAGTTATGTTAATATGTGTACTTTACTGACACACTGTAAACACCTTTAAGAGAAGATATATGTTAATTCAAACCTAAATACAATGTCAGAGCGTATTGACACTGTTACTCAGTTTCCTGGTTTTTTTAATTCTTTATACATCTCTAAATTGTAGTTAGAGGGAGTAACTTCCTTTAACAAGTAGGGTTTGTAATCTAAGAATACTGGTGAAAATATTTGAGGTCTATAGAAGAAATTTGCTTCCATCAGTTCTATGCATGATATATAAATATGTATTTCTAATATTAAGCTGAAGTGGAACTCTCAGGTCTCCAAAATTTTGAACTAGTTTTGTTTCTTGTGCTCTAGGAGGGTCCTAATAGTCTGATTAATGAAGAAGAATTCTTTGATGCTGTTGAAGCTGCTCTCGATAGACAGGATAAAATGGAAGAACAGGTATTGATACTTGAAAAATGTCTTAATGATGGGCACTTCATGGGAGACTTCGATGACTTAAACTCAGTCCTGGGGTGCATCTCCAGAAGCTCTAGATAATTTATTCTGACACTGATAACGGGAATTAACTTAATATTTTTACAGTTTAATATTGTTGCTTAACACTCATTTTGAGGAAGTGACTTCACAGCTTACGCTGAAGTGGACAGTAGAAGTGTTAAGCTAATGGAATGTCTCTAGTTTCTAACTCCTGTATGTGTCCTGTATAAAACTTGACTTTGTAACTGATGCCCTGTGCAAATAGTATCAAACACTGCAGCTATTTCTCAAAACCTAATTATTGCTCTGAAGCTTTTTTGATTCAGTATGTGAAAATAGGAAAGACATAGTTCCGTTGGTGTTTGTTTTTATTTAAAAATTCTGTAGGCTCTGGCTACTTCTCTAACTCATTTCTTGAATATGCTTCAGTGACAAGGATCAAAAATGGGTAAGATGCATATGAGGAAATGTATAGAATATGAGAAGTTACAGCAATATGTAAAGTGAGAGGGAATAACAAAGTGGTGTGTCCTTTGTCTTAAGTGTTTAGGCTTATGAGTACAGTGACGTGGTTAAGAACTGAGAGACTTTCTAGTGGACATACAGTACCCAGCAAAGCTTACCTATGTTGGGGTCTCTTAATGGAGAGTAAAAGTTTTGGGTGACTGTTGCAGTCCTGCTGATCTGTTTTCCTTCACTCAGAAATACATCTTACAGTATAGATTAATTCAGTCTTCAGGCCCATTCCCTTAATGAGAGAGATCTCCAGCAGGATGACAGCTTCATGCCTGTCATGAACAGCATTAGTTGTTGTAGCCACTAAGTAGATTGAGGATGACTCACTCTGTTTCATAGTCTACCCAGTAGCAGCTGACTACTAATAATTAAACCTATTTTGTTGCAGTCCCAAAGTGAAAAGGTTAGATTACATTGGCCAACATCCTTACCTTCTGGAGATGCATATTCTGCTGTGGGGACTCATCGATTTGTCCAAAAGGTAAGATATTTCTCATGATCTCCACTGAATAATGAGCTGACCTATGATATTTCTATATGATATATTGTATGGGTAGGTGAGTTTTTTTTGTCAGGTGTTTCTAGTAACTTTCAAGGGTTTACTCATTTTCAAATGAAGTAGCTGGAATTGGAGAAGACTTTTCTGTCTTGTCTCAAAAAATACTGATTGTGAGTATCTTTTTAGAGTATTCTTGACTTGTATCAAGCTTGTTGATTAGATAGTAAAAGAAAAATCTCAACTTGCTAACCTCAGTGTTTTTAAGATACCTTCACCAAAATTCAATTATTTGTTTTTATAAAAAATCCAGTCCCTTGTATCAGGATACATTGACTTTTATTTTAGTGTTACTGGAAACACTGTGCTTCTCTCAGGGCTACATTGGGAGAATAATAGATAATAGGTGCATGAAATCAGCATTCACGGCTGTGCTTGCTGCTTATGGTGCTTTTGTTTTCCTTTTCTTCATTATCTTGTGCTTGCAAGTTGGTACTGAAGGCTCTGTTGTGCCTTTGTTCTGATTACTTGGTTTTTTCTTTGTCTGTCTCTGGTAGCCCTATAGTCGCTCTTCCTCCATGTCTTCCATTGATCTAGTCAGTGCCTCTGATGATGTTCACAGATTCAGCGCCCAGGTACTGTATTAATGTATAGAGTGGGGGTTGCGTATCTTTGCTGTATTTCATCCTCTTCTCTAGAACCTGGGTTTTTTGTTACAGAAATCACTGCTTGCTTTAAACTAGTATGTTGAGACAAACAAAGGAGTTCTCTATTCCTGTACTAAATGCTTGTCTTTTTACATCCAGCTTGCGTGCATATCACTTGTGCAGAGGCCCAAATCTCATGAAACTGTTGGATTTAATTCAGTAGCTTTAATAAAAATGCCTACAATTTGAAAATTTTGTATTTGTGATTACAATGAAAGTAGAATAACAGCTGTTTTGTGTGGGCTGGAGATGGTCTTTGCTTCAAGTTGGATAGTTTTTCTTGCTTTTAAATCAAAGGTTTTATTTTTATCTTTAACATCTGTTTGTAATGACATTAAGATACTAAATGTTAATGTTCACTATTACCACTTTTTACCTCTACAACTAGTTTTATTACTGAAAGGTCATAAAGTATGTTGACAAAAAGGATTGTGGGTGTGAGAATTTTTACTGAAGAGTTTCAATATATTCACTTATCCTTCAAAAAGAAGTCTGGCATCCTGAATATGTCAGTGTACTCAGTGACATATTCCAGTAATGTACAAAATTACTGTAGGTGCTTGCTCTGAAGATCGTAGTTTAGAGTAGAATTAGGTGGGTGAGTTCATGTGTTTGCACTTTAGCCTCAAAAAAAGTTGTTCAAACATGGCATTCATGCCATTAATTTCCTTCTGTTGTGGTCCATATGTGATTGTGAGCTTCCTTCTGGGATCTGTTGTTTTCGAGTTTTTTTGAAACTGCTCACTAATGCTGCAAACAAACTGCTTTTTCGAATACAAGGAATGGATTTTCTTTTGATTAATGGAGCCTGGAACTGTACCATCTGCAGACCTTGCTACCAGCTTTGAGCAGGACCCTAGCACTTAAGGACTTGCTTATTGGACTGAAATCCCAACACTTGCTTTGACCTTTTGTAGTCAGTAAATTTCTGAATTTTGAACTTATGCTAGGGAAAAAATATGCAGGTCATATTGCACACTGCTGATAGGCTCATCTACTGATACTCCAGTGGTCAAGATAGTTTTTCAAGTTTCTTTTCGTTTGGGAGGATGGGGGAAATCAAGTAATAAAAAGCAAGTTTGATTCCAAAGGTAAGAACTCGTTATCTGTCAGGCTATGGGTACATCGGTAGGTCAATATAAAGGGAACTCATAGATGCTAAAATATGAGGGTCTCCTCAGTTTCACCTCTTTCATGTCTGTGATAACACTTGTTCATTCATAATATGAACCTGAGCATCAGAGCATTAGTGTGGCTGAAAACTAACCATTTAAACACAAACCTGAGGTGGACCAGGCCCTTGTCACAATAATGCAAATTGAAGTTCAGGATCAGGGTCAAATGGACTGGAGTCAAGTTGCCCTTTTCAGCTGCTGCAGAGATTACACTGTGCAAAAATTACTACCGAGTGCCTCTAAATGCAGTTTCAAGTTAATGGACTCAGTGCGAAAAGGATGATCATCTTAACATAGAGGAAACTACTCTCCCCACACACACCCCCATGCCCCCAAATATTTTGCCTAGAACAAATGTTTCTCAGAATAACAAGTCAGTCCACCTGCTTGGAGCTTCATTGCTACTGAACAAGCCGGTGAAAGACAACTGAGACGATGAAGAGCAAAGCAGCACACCTTCTTTTAGTGGCAACCTGCTATGGACCTTATTGATATAAAATTGGCCTTTGTCCCTAGGCTGAGGATTTGGCTTTTGGAAATGCAAGCTAGTATCTTCATTCTGAATAAATGTGACTTGTTTCTAGACTTCATTCACACAGAGGAAATTTGATATCAGTAAAAGGTCAAGTAGAAACTTGGAGCCTTGTTTTTAAGGTTGAGAAGTATAAACATACGTTCTGATGGGAGCTGGTTCTTCAGTGTGCCTCTAGAAAGGCATTGATTTGTCTCTGCCAGTTGAGTGGGAGGTTGTGGACTTAAAATGCTGTAGATGTTTTGCAGATCACTTTCTTTTAAAGGACTATGAGATATTAAAATAGATTGAGCTGTTCTGAGGGCCTTTAGAGTGAAGAACCACTCACTTAAAGTTCAGACCAAAGCTGCATGGCGTACAGGTTACAGGTATTTTTGCAGACCGTTCCTGTAGCCTGCCAGGAACCCAGAGGTAGTAGTGTGGCCTCCCCAGTGGGAGAGAAGCTGTGAATCTTGACTCTGTGCCTCTGAAATAGGTGCAGGCTGACAGACAACGACCAGTGCGTAGATGGACAGGTAGTGTGCACAAGGCAGTTGTAGGTACTGCAATTTGTTGGTAAAGCAGAAGGAAACTGTTTAGATTGCACTCCTGTGGATGCCTCCTTCTCTTCCTTCCTTGCTGTTCCCCTCATCCCTCTGCATTTAGTGTAAAGCAAAAAGCAGCAAAAGGCAAAACAAACATGCAAAAGCTGGCTTTCTCCTTAATAGATTAGGAGCTAGGGGAGGAGAGATATAGGGACCTGAAGGTGTTGCAGGTAACTGTTGGGAACATTGTGAGGATTGCTTTCTGAAAAAAGTGTGACCTACAGCTAGTAAGTTGCATACTTGAGTAGCCCACATTCTTACCTGGTTTGGATTGTACTGTCATTGTTTCACTGGAAAAAAAATAGAGGAATCTTTTGTAGGAAACTGCTAGTAACTGGCAGAAAAAGATGGCCTGTCTAAAAGCAGAAGCACAGATCTTGTGGGTGTTTTTAGTTCATTAGAACTCAAAACCAAAAACAATCCCAAAGAAACCCCCCAAAATTTGGACTGATAACTTTTCCTTCTGTAGAGAGGTCTATAGTTAAAATGAGATAAACTAGAATTTCCATTCAGTGGATTTTATTTTGATGTTGTACTTTGAGGATTTTGACTTGATTCAATAACCTTTTTTCTTCCTTAAGTGTATTGCCTATGGAGTACAAACAAAATTATTGGTTTAAATTAAAAGTAAATAACATCTTTTAATTCTTTATCATATCAGAAAAAGATTAAGTATTTTTTAATTTTGCTTTCTACTTGTTGTACTACTTACTAAAATATATGGTTATGTGTTATTTTATGTTCACACTAGGCTTCATATTTTTATAAGTTGTGCAAAACCACTTATGGGTTCAGACTATTTTGTGAATATGCACTTTTAAAACTAATTTTTGTGTTGGTCAATTAACTAACCTTTGCTTGTAGTGCTTCTCCTTTTGAAAAAAAAATGTATTTCTAGTAATTCAGGAAAATAATGTCAATCACATAGACTTATTTGCTGTGAGAAGTTTTAGTAGTCACCTGCTTTTTGGGTGGAGAAAAGTTATTAAAGTGTTTCCAGTACTTGTAAACATGCAGCAATGGATACCTTATATTTTTGCTTCTGTTTTTCTTTAGTGGAGAGTGGGATTTGGAAAGGGATGGGGAACCAAAGAAAGATTCAGATCCTAGATTTAAAATAAAAATCCATTTCCTGTCCCAGCACCCATTTTCATGCACATTACGTGGAATAAAAACCCGAGGTATTCACCTAGCCTGATAAAAACGTATCAAATATTTGGTCTTCAAGAAAAGCCCACAGCTGTCTAGCTAAACATTTTTTAAATTAGTATTTTGTAATAGTAGAGTCTCTGTTGTAATTTTTCTGAATGTAAGCATTTCTGTTCTTTTTTTCCTAGCTGGCAACTGTGCAAAGATGCCAATGAAACAGAATAGGCATGCTTTGCTCATGATTGTTTCCTTCACTGCTCTCCCAATATGACTTTTGATACACATTTACTGTTTCAGAGCTTGTCTGTCTTCCTCCCTATCCCTCCCGCCTTTGTTCGGCTTCTAAAATGCTCTTCAGTGAAGATCTTACTTATTTAGAGAGAGCTGAAGTAAGCTCCTGTACACTGAAATAAAACTGTCTTAGGTAGACATAATGAGGTTTGGCAGTTTGGAGGTGTAAAGGAAGGTAAGGAAGTACCCATAAAGAATGAAGTTGGAAGTTGAAGCAAGATTTTGCCTTTTGTTTTCTGAAGGCCAGAACTATCTGCTCATTCTCAACCTGTAAAAGAAAACTCTGTTCTCGAAATTCAGCTCCTGCACAGGATATGAAGTATTGGCTTGTGGCTTCCAATACTATGCAGTCTCTGCCCAGGAAGATGAAAGAAATGAGTTAAAATTGTGTATTCTTTTTCCTCAAAGGTGGAAGAGATGGTACAAAACCATATGACGTATTCCTTGCAAGATGTAGGAGGAGATGCGAACTGGCAGCTAGTGGTAGAAGAAGGAGAAATGAAGGTAAACATCTGGGGTTTTGTTTAATTGATATAAGATATGCTGTAGAGGCAGATATTTTGGTGGATTTGGCAGTGTCAGGTTTATGTTTGTACTTGATCTTAAGGGTCTTTTCAAACCTAAAAGATTCTATGATTCTCTGGTAATACTATCACTCAGCAAGTTACGCTGTTAAAACCTCTCTCTGAGAACAGCATCGTTTTAGTTGGGACTGGAGTACAAAAGAGCTGTGGCTTCTGATATATTTATTCATACAAAATCTTATGTGACTCTTGCAATAGCTTTGTCTTTGCTAATTCCTTTCTCGTTCTCTCCTACTTAAAACTTGGTATCAAAATGATGTGTAAATTTGACATACAAAAATGTTAGAGTAGCAGGTTACTGTTGGCTGTTCTGCTGTGCTTATATGGATCCTTGTGTGTAGTGATAAATAAGGTAGCTAAATCATTTTTGGAGTAGAGATTCTTAAAAGCATGTAAGAATGTCTGCGTTGGTAGTTACCAGAGAACACTGACACGACGAATTATGTGTTAGTTTTCTAGGTAAGTGGGTGTTTTGCTTTTAAAAAAACCTGATGAAATTTTAAACAATTAAAACATGAACAGTTTTGACAATTTCTGTTGTATGTTTCTTGTTTTTGTATTTGGCTATAGGTATACAGAAGAGAGGTGGAAGAGAATGGAATAGTTTTAGATCCTTTGAAAGCAACTCATGCCGTTAAAGGGGTAACAGGGCATGAAGTTTGCCACTACTTCTGGAATGTTGATGTTCGTAATGACTGGGAAAGTAAGGAATTGGTTCTTAAGCTTTGCATGTTTATCAGCAACGATATTGCTTATAACATTGACCTCTTATCTATGCTTGTTTACTGATGGATTTTTCTTCTGCCTTCCTCTTTCAGCAACAATTGAAAATTTCCATGTTGTGGAAAATTTAGCTGATAATGCAATCATCATTTACCAGACACATAAGGTAACACTTCAGCTGTATGCGTACCTTACTGAGACAGTCTGGGGCTTATGTGTTAAGCTGTTATTCTGAATACTTTAGCAACTTAACAACTTAAAATACTGTTCAGAACAACATTTCAGAACAGGCTCTCTATTAAACTTCAACTTAAGTCAATTTATCAAACTTGGCTTGGTAGCAGAATTGGTTGTGCATATGTCTGACAGGGCTTGTAATAAGAAATGAGGACTGTTTTAAATCTCTAGATGTATCACTGCCAGCAAGGCAAGAGTCACCTAAAGCCAAGAGAAACAATAAATCAACACTGACTACAAGGAAGAAATCCATACCACTGTATTGTATGTTTTGTTGCAATAATGCAAGATATTGTTGACATACACACTTGCATTGTGAGGTGGTATAATTGCTCATACGACATTTGTTCTTGTAACTTTTGTATGTTTTCTTCCTCCCCAACCAGTTCTGGCATAAACTTAGTAAAATACTCATTTGAATTAGAACCCAACAACTGTAACTTAAAGGTTCAAAAAGATCAGAATGAAGTGTACAGATTCATCTTTAATTTTGCATGATTCCAGGTATTAGCACACTCAAATATTAAACCAAATATTTTTCTTTGACAATTTTGCGAGTAATGTGGTTACCTTAAAACTTCTGTAACAGAGGACTTGTGGTTTTGAGTAAGACAGTTGTATAAACTGTATAGCATTGTGGTAAAAGGTAGACCTTTTTTCCCTATCGAGTGTCAGGAAAATGGCTTTTGTATATTTTCTTATTTTATAGTCATTTTGCTTCTGAAACTTTCTTTTACATAGTATCAATTTACCATATCTGTCTTAGTGAAGTAGTATCTTGTTGAAATAATACTTGTTATAAATATTTCTCTCCCTTGCTTTCTTTCTCTGGAGACATAAGAAACTGTAGATGCATGTATTTATATTTAACCACTAGTTCAGTTTGTAGCTTACAAGTATTAACTAAAATGCAAACCTCGGGTTGAGGGAACTGGAGGGGAATTGCCTCTTCCTGTTCATCTACCGAAAAAGTCATTGCAGCTTGGCTTTCTGCATTTCAAAGTACTTCAGCTTTTCCCTTAGATCTTTTAAAATGAACTGTAGCCGTATAACCTGATACGCATCTGTGCAACAGCTATGTTGTATTTCAGTTTTGAAAACGAAATTAGTAACTTGAAGAAACTTCTACTTAACATGACTGACCTGGTTTGTTTTGCTTGTTTTTTCCTTTTATCTAAGGATAGTAAGTACTTAATTTGCAAAACTGGAAAAGTTTATATTTAGGTGTTTCTCTGCAGAGGGTATGGCCAGCTTCTCAAAGGGATGTGCTGTATTTGTCTGCCATCAAAAAGATACCAGCATTCAGTGAAAATGATCCTGAAACATGGATTGTGTGCAATTTCTCTGTGGAACATGACAGTGCTCCTGTAAGTATAGTTTTCTTTCTATCAAGTTCTGCTTTTAAGATAACACTTTTTCCTGTTACATGGTAATGCATGTGCAAAACTAGTGTGAGGGAGGTGGGGGGTTTGTGCAAAAATACAGTTTATTTAAACCAGGTGATACAATGACCTGATGAAGGCATTCTGAGCCAAAAGCTTCCTTGCCTTATTTCAACAGTTGGCATATCTAAGGCATTGCAGCAGAATGGAAGCAAAATTTCTGGAGATGTGAAAACATCTTAAAGAATTGAGGTTATTTTGTGTGGAATCAAATCGATAACTCTTCAGTGATGTCAGATACAGGAGTAGGCTTGTGTAACTGTAGATGTGGAGTCTGTTAAACCTCCATCTTACACAGTTCTACGTTGGTTCTGTTAGATAGTAGCTGTGATTGTTTTCTTTGGAGTATTTCTGTGCTAATTGCTGTAAGAAAAGTTGCTAACTGATATTTGTAAATGCTGATACATTATTATTTAAATGTTCCTTTACCTATTTGTCACAATAATTGAAACAATTGACTTGTAATATGTATTAAGCAAGCAGAAACTGGAGATTCAGTCATTTCAGTTTAACCCTTTCCCTGTTCATCATATACCTTTCATTTCACTCACATTCATGTTACATCCATGTAGTGCTAGAATGCAAACTCTGAAAGCCAGCTTGTGGAGTGTCTTAGACTTCATAGTAAATTGAAGTATTAGCAGTCAAGTATGCTGAAACAAATCTGGTTTGAGGCTTACAAATGTTTCATTTTTTTGGCAGCTGAACAATCGCTGTGTCCGTGCCAAAATAAATATTGCTATGATTTGTCAGACATTAGTAAGCCCACCAGAGGGGAACAAGGAAATAAGCAGGGACAACATCCTATGCAAGATTACATATGTAGCTAATGGTAAGTCTAAAATTTTCCAGTATGGCATTCATGATGTGCTACTTCTGGCAAGCTAAACACTGGTAGAAAAGCTTGATGAAGTTTTCTGTTAAACTTATATGTAGCATCACACTTGTGGTCTTCATGTTGAAAAAGACTCTAATGTGCTACATAAATCAGTGAATGGGATCATTAATTGTGTGGATTCTGGGAGGAATTAATGGAAGTAGTCCATAGCTCAGTCCTGAATACAGAGCCTTGGGGTGGAGAAGGGTGGGCAGAAGAAATGTCTGCAACTGGGATGACTTGGCATAGCTTTTAGTTTCAGTAATAGTATGTTTTTTTCATGTATTGCTGTAAATCTTGTCTTCCTCTGATTCATCTTGTTAGGCTGAAAAGCTGCTGATAGTAAAGACAGTTCTTAACCCTCAGTGTTAGGAAGGAGCAAATACATATTGTGTGAGGATGTTTGCAAGCTGTATAATCTAGTCTACTTTCTTTTTATTTTTTAACTGACACAACCCTTGATATTGACTGAAAAGTTATCAAAGCCAAACTGTATTGTTACTGTACCCAGTATTTAGCAATGTATTGTAGTATTGGAGCTACATGCTTATTACCTCCTCTCTTGCAGTTACAAAACACTTCAAGAATAGCTCACCTGTTTATTACTTTTAACCACCTATTACAAGGCTTACTAAAGAGTCAAAGTCTGAAAAATTGGTTCAGTAAATCTTTGCCATATGAGTGATGCAATTTGTGTTAAATCCTGTACAAATAATACTATATGGTGTTAAACTCTGGGTAAGCAGCTTTATTTCCTTTTTACAAGTTTCCCAGTGATTTAAATATGTTTTCACTGATAAATTCTGAACCACCATTTATGGGAATTGGCAGCTTTTTCAGCAAAATACTTGCCCTGTGAATTAAAGCATATTTTAGAATCAGTTCAAATTTTGGTTTAAGTGCTTTAAACATAATTTGTAAGACATTGGCTGTGCAGCAATTCTGCAGACAAATGCAGCAGTTACTGAAAAATTAAGACTGACTTCTGTTTTCTTTGAAATTAGAAGCTGCTCAAGTCTCTTTTTCTGCTATTTCTTGGAAGTCCTTAGAGAATATTGTCTTCCATTTTCACATTTCCTGAAGGCTCACAGCACATCACGTTTAAAGTTTTTTAAACAGTGGCATCATGGAACTGGACTGAGCTTGAGTATTAAGAGTAAAGTGCTACAACATACGCTGTAAGGGCAGTAAAAGGACACACTGATGATTATCCTTTTCTGTTACTTCAGAAAGAGTTGCAGGAACAACGAAGTTAAATATTCTTTTCTAGCCTTTAGCTGATTTGCTGTATTTCAGTACCTTTCTGTCTATTTCCAGTGAACCCAGGAGGATGGGCGCCAGCATCAGTGTTACGAGCAGTGGCAAAACGAGAATATCCAAAATTCTTGAAGCGTTTTACATCATATGTGCAAGAGAAAACAGCAGGAAAGCCTATTTTATTCTAGTATTAGCAGGTATACATTCTTTTTTCATTCTTGATTCACTGTTGTAAATTTAAGGCCAAACAGAAATATGCAATCTAAAATTTCTTGTCATGATGAGCATGAACTCAGTGCTTAGTTTTAATATATGTATGCAATATACATTTTAAGAGATACATGTAATCCGTATGTATTAGCATGAAAAATAAGGGCTGCACAAGTTATCCAGCACTAGTTTTTGTAGACTTACTAGTTTATCTTGCAAGTTTTTGCATACTTGTCTAATTTATGCAGAAGTTGATGAAGGATGAAGTATTTTTTTCTCCCACCTATCACAGGCATTTTACACTTTTGCTGGAGTGAATACATACTGGTGTTTCTCTAGAGCCCCATAAAGTTTTGATATCTTGAATTTTACTTATAGTTGAATATCTGATAGAATATTATGAAGGTCAAAGTATTATTGTGTATTGACAGAATAGTTTTGATCTAGGATTTTTATTGGAAATTTTCTGACAGACCAGTGTCAATTACTGGAGTATTTGAAAGGCTGCAACTTAAATTTTTAGCCTTTCTTGTGAGCCTAAGAAAGAAAAGGGATTTACAGATGCTTTCTGAAGTCAATGGATGTATTTTAATGGTGTAGGTCATTGGGCTAATCTAAAACTATTTTAACATTTAAATGATGATACGGCATTAGAATAGGGATTCCTTGATCACTTCTGGGGCTGTCGGAATCTGTCAGACATCAGCCTTAATGCTAAGTAAGGCTTCACTTAATTTTTGCTAGTGTAGATTCTTGCTATATGCTTCGTAACTTGCTATATACTTTGTAATGGTAGTGTCAAGCCATTGAATTCAATTTGGTAGTTCTAGTGTTACAGCACAATCTGAAAATTAGTGTTTTTACTTTTTCTGTGCATGACATAGGCTACCTATATTTTGGGGTTCTATTTATTATGTCAGACTCCAAAAGTCATAGTCATTTGATCCTTCTGTAACAAGTAGCCCTGTAATGATTCATGTTTTTAATTGTGTATTGTTAGAGAACTAGTGCAGGTGAACCATTTAAAAAAAAAAAGCTGTCATGAGTCAGCTCTTCAAACTTGATCATAGCAGTGCTGATACTATTTAAGGTGTTCTAACAAGTTCTTGTTTTCCTATTAGTGTTCAAACTTTTCAGTGCTGTATTTTTGTCTTTGCTTACCTGCAGCAATCGGACAAGACTGGGTGAGCATTCCATGTTGGAGAAGTGACCATGCATAGAACACTCCATGCTGGAACGAAGGATCTACAGTCTTTTCATGGCCCAAGTTCTAGGCTTTGTATACTGAAGTGAAGAAGTGTTGCAACACCATGAGGCTGCATATTTAACACTAGCTCTCTCCTGCTAACTCTTCTGGCTGAATCAGTGTGTAATTATAAATACATGTATTGATAACATGTATATGGCTCTGTTTTTATTTGCTTGCTTTAGAAGAGGACGAATGCGTACAACTTTGAATAGCCAATGTGGATTACTGCTTTAATTTTAAACAAGTTGCAGAATTTCACTGTCAACCTTCCTAAGATACTCACGCAGTTTTTGTGCATGTCTAAAAAGCACAAAAGACAAATGCACATATAGCATACTGTATGTGCTTTATATGCACAAAAATCTACGTGGTACTGGGTGGGGACGACTTCAGTAAAGCCTGTGTGACTTATTGGCAGGTTTTGTTTTGCTTTGTATAATCATAGTTCATGGCTGCTGGTTTCTATAATGAATCATCTTGTTACATACAATGTCAGTTAATAACTGAGGGCTGTCAATATCCTTATGACTTTGCCTTTTCTATTGTCTTACTCTTATGACGATCTTTGGTTCTGAAGGAGTAAGAGTGAAAAGCTTTATTTTTTCCAGATATCTTTATATTTCTATTGTATTTTTTAGTTCTGTAATATGTGCTACAGGATTTTTGTTAATAAACACGATCTAGAAATATTGAGGAAGATTCTGTATGACAGGGCAAAAGACTGCCTGAAAGCTAGAAGTCATCTGTCCATGCTATATGTGGACTGCTTTCTTTCGTGATATCCAGGGCTTTCCTGAAGCTGTGAGAAGGTACACTAAAATATTTATTGAAGTAACAACATTCCTGGTCTAGAATGAGGATGAGTACATTATTTTCAGATTGTGCATGTGTTTTCTTCATCTTAATAGAGCCATGCTGTGAGGTTCATGCAGAAAATTATTTGCCTCTTGATCAAAAACCCATCAGAGCTATAAGGATGCATAGTTCTTGTTGGAAAGTTCCCTTTCGTTGCTGTGTGAACTTAAATGTCAGGTATTTACCTGCCTTTGATTCTGGAGATGCTCATTAGGAGAGGACTGTGGCAGACTGGTACTGACTTTGAGGTCTTCTATCCCTGTCCTGTAGTTGGAAACTCTGCAGAGACTGCTCGGTGTTTCACTAAGCTGTGTATCTCGAGAAAAAAGTTTCAGATATATTTTTTTCAAAAGAAAGCTGAAAGTCTTATTTGATATAGTATGGTAGGTGCCTGAAAATAAATATAATACAGTAACTTAATGAAGATTTGGTAAATGATTGTGATCTGCGCAGTGTTGAAAAACTTTCTGTTCATCTTCCCTGTGGAGATGGAATCGTACCTAACACATGATTGCACATGCATGCAGATTTCAGGCTCCATAACTGTTCCCTGTTTATTTGCCTTTCTCTAGTGGTGTGCATGGAATATGCCTTATTACAGAGTTATTCTGTTAATTTGAATATGTAGAAAAGTGCCTATATGGTAATGCTAGTCAGGCAAATAAGATGAAAATCTGTACATGTTTACTGTATCACCAGTGAGCATTTTATACGGTGATTTCAAAAAAAAAATCTTATACCTCAAATGTATTTCATCTTTTTACAATCAGCCAAGCAATGGTTCATTCCACCATAGCCTCTGATGGGAACTTAAAAAAAAAAAAATCCAAAATACGAAGAGTTTAACTCCTTATTTGCTGTTTCTGGTAATTGTTGGAATACAGGTGAGTTTATTAATTTAATTGGATAGCTTTATTTTGCAAAGGTATGGAGAGTTTACAAAGCAGTATATAAACTTATATCATTAGTTGCATTTGCACTAAATGTGATGTACTTTTGCGATTTATCCTGTAAATAAAATTACACTACAGATACTATTTGTAAAGAATATGTTTTACTTTTAGATAAAGGCGCTGGTACTTCACTACAGCTAGCCCTGCCCAATCAGAGTTCTAAGAGGCTTCTGAAAGAATATGGAAGGAGTTGCAAGATTGAGAAATTGGTATTAATTGGCCTCTATAAAAACAAATGAAAAAAGGTAGTTGTCTGTAGGCCTCTCAGATTGTCTGCGTGCAAGTAGCCATCAGAACCTTTCTTCTGGAAGGGATCTTGCTTTTACGACTTTACAGAATTTGCCCTGTCTCTCAAGCCCATTCCCCTTTTGAGCCACTGCCCTGTATCTCTGCGCTGAGTTCAGTCCCTCCTGTTAATGGATCGGTAGTATTTATACAGCTGGTGGTGGTCTTTGCAGAGGCAGCTCCTGACTCTAGAATGGATGTTTTTATAAGCTGAACCACTCTGAAGGGCTGGGAACACAGCAGTCTTCCCCATCAGATACTGTTCTCTGAATATCTGCATCTGTTTGGAGAATTTGGACGTTGCCAAAGGAAATGATTTGATAGAACTTGTATTGGGAATGAGGATGAGATGGTCATTGTTATCCTGTCTGAGAAACTGAACATCTTATTTTGACAAATTTACCTGTGAAAAATGTGATGCACTTTGAAGAAAATAACCTTTTTCTTAATCGGGCTGAGCTGGCTTAACTGAAGTTGTGCAGATTCTCTTTAATCAGATTGTCCACCTGTATTTTTGTCAAGTTGTACAGATAACGTTGTATTTGAATTGCCACTGTTCATCTACAGACTTAAAACATGAATCATATTTTTTAGTATGTTGAGTGTGTAGAGTGTAACTGTCTGTTCTATAATAGCTTTATGATCCTAATGGTAAGTTTTAAAAATTAAAAGAAGTCAGCTCTTCCATGTTACAATCACAAATTTAAAACCAGTATTTAAAAGTGAGAAGTATTAAAAATTATGAAGAAAAATCCTGGTCTGTAGTTATTTTTAACTTGCAGTGCTTCGGAGAAACTTATCTGAGACACTTTACCTTTTAACCAACTATTAGATCACAGATCGTTATATACAATATTACAATGTATGGTAAACATTTAACAGGAAAGCAGTTTGCTTGTATCAGTGAGGTCAGTGGGATGAAAACTTGAATGCCACATTGGTTTCCATATTGGAAAGCTCATTTTGTGCCAGCATATCAGAGGCATGTTAAGAGATGTTCCTCTGTAGGATAGTCTCAATATAGAGCACTTCCAAAGTGTTTCAGCTCTCATCTTCATTTGTACAGAATTAACAGCGTTATGGATGCTTCCATGGGAAGAATAGAGATCCAGGACTGACAAGTGCCAGAGGATAAACCTGTGGCTATTCCTCAAGTATGAAGAATTTCTAAGAACTGAGATGAGCTGCTGTAGGGCAAGTTTTCCTAACAGCAGAAAGAGCTGGTGCCTAATGGATCAGTAACAATCCTACCTTTACTTGTTATGCAGGGATTTCTACTTTTTATATAGTAATCAGTAAAGTTGTAGAAACCTTACAAGTATGCAAGACTGGAGGAACAGTTTGAAATCACAGCAGGTATTGCTTGCACAGAAAGAAAACTCATCTTGAGCTCAGCTGCATCAGGCCTCAAGTAATACACTGCAACAAATACTGGGTCCTGAGGTAAGCCCTGCCCTTGAAGAATGCAGCTATTTTAGCTGGCAAAAAAAGAAATCCCTCAAAATATGAAAGTAATACAGTCATATTCTTGGTCCCATAGGCTATGCATGTAATTTGAAAACTACGTACTTTCCAGGAAGGAGAGTTTTGAGTGTTTGTGTAGCCATCTGTGTAACTACAGTATAATTTGACCCTAGATACAATGACTATTAGTTAGGGTTATGCCACGCAATTCACCAGGGCGTATTACTAATAGCATTGCTCTTATCTTTAGTCTCCAGCTATAAAACCTAAGTTTCATAGGAGGAGGAAAGTGTATTTCATTAGATAAAAGAAAGGGATACACTTTGAGCATTTGGTGTGTGGAAGTGTCTGTTTTTCTTCAGCTGTAGCCATTAATGCAGGAAGCTTTTTTCTTCTTCATGTGTCCCTTCTCTATGCATCGACTACAGCTGGAATGAGGAAGGCTGGTAATGTGGCTTGCTGCCATTTTAAGTTTTAAACCAGTTCTCCTTAAAAAGAACTATTTTAAATGATCATTACTGAGAACTTAGACCAAGCAACAGTCAGACATATCATCATCTGAAGTGTAAACACTTTAGTGAGGAACTTTCCATTCAGTCTCCTTTTGCTGGAGCTGGTCTGCCTGACCACTGGTGTGATAGGGGACTTGAGGAGCTCCATGGTGAGGTAATCGGAGACGAAGCTGGCACAGCCCTCCCAGTGGTACAGCTCTGTGTAAGGTAGCAGGGTTGGCCTCACTATTGTGCTCACAAACTTCTGTAGGGCAACAGGAGGACTTTGGTTAGCCAACAGCTGCTTGGCAGAGCCTCCTGTCCAAACCCATCCTCAGACGGCCCCTAGATGCTGCCACTCACATTCAGGACCTCCCTAGAGCATATCAACAGCATCAGTAACCCTCCTCACCTGTTCCAAGGTAGAAATCGCAGGGGGTTGAGGCCACCTGCTTGTCTGTGGCTGAAACTTCCAGCTCATCTTAGACACGTTACAGATGTGAGCCAGTTCTTCTCTTGGTTTTCAAGCAAAACAAATAGCTACTGCCCTTTCCAGCTTTTACATCCTCCAGCATTTTTTGCCTTGTATGTTAACAATATAAGAAATGTTGGGGAAAGCTGGTCCAAAGGAGCAATTCCAGATGCCTGGGGGAGCATCAGGTCGAGAACTAGACAACAGTCGTGCTGCTTGGGCCCAGTACCAAACCCAGACCACAAACTTCCACATCTACTTCCCTCCCTGTAACTTCTGCAAACTTCAGAACAAGACCTAACTCTGGATCCAGGCTCCGCATCTGTGACTAAGCCTGTGCCGTATCTATTTCATATGTCTCTTTCACTTTCCTTCCTGTTTCTGTGGTCTTTCCCATCTCTTAGGCATCACACTGCAGCCTACAGGGCGCCACTACCGTGTGTGTGGTACAATGTGCTTGAGGATTTGGACAGCCAGGGTGTTCCCGGGGTGCTGTGTGCCTGCTCAGAGTGCTGTGGGCCCAGCAAGCGGGTCCCCGTTCCCTTTGGCCAGGAGCGAGGGCAGGAAGGGCTGCTGTCCCTCCCCAGGATTCAGCACGACAGAAGCCAAGTGCCCCCTACGCTGTGGCCCAGCCCCATGCCGCGCCATACCTCCACACCACACTCGTTGGCCGGGCAGCGGCAGAGAGGCTTTCGCCAGGAGCAACGTGGGCAAGATGACCCACTACCAAAACATGGCCAGGGCTCCCTGTTTCCCAGGGAAAAAATGAGGATCATACCCAAGGGAATGTTTTTGATACAGCCATCACTCTAGAGGATGACATACGCCCAGAGGCTCAGGGGATCTTTATATGGTCTCATAATACAGCAGCAAGTGAGCGTACAACAAAGGGAATGACCATGTCTTACTCACACGTGCTGTAGGTGACCCTGCTTTGGCAGGGGGGTTGGACTAGATGACCCACAGAGGTGCCTTCCAAAGCCAAACATTCTGTGATTCTGTGATATTCTGTGAAATGCCATGTGGAATTTTCCTTTCTCTCACCGTTATGTTAACATCA